AAAAATAATAATAATAATAATAATAATAACCATAATAATAATAATAATAATAATAATAATAGCAATTGTAATAATAATCGTAATAATAATAATAATAATAATAATAATAATAATAATAATACTAAACTAAAATTAAAATCGTTACCGTTAGAGTTGCACTCTGGCGTTATTTGTGTTGGTTTTATAGCCGACACGTTAAAAAGCTTATGACTAGCACTATGGCTGCTGAACATTTTAAACAACCAAGTATTAAGACAGTCGGCTTAGCTGAACCGGAGCGTGGTTCAATTTCGTTTTCCTCCGGATTATGTGCTGGACTCATAGGATCGTATGGTGTAGACGTAGGACCTAAACAGATATACAAACACAATAACGATAATACATACCATCTTGAATTCAAATAAAAATCAATTCAATTAATTACCCTCGCCTGAACCGCTTGATTCTTGTAGGCTATTATATTCATCATCTTCCATATCATCGGTTATTCGTCCGGAGCCTTCGTCATCACGACCAGCCATATCGTTTTGTATTTCGTTTATGTTACGACTGGGGGAAGGTATCTGAAAACACATTTAAGCAAAATATATACTGTTAGTATTATCCCGCAGGAAGTATTCATTCCACCTGAGTTTTCATGAAAAAATGTTACGAGCAATATTCTGAACTTAAAGATTAGTAAAAAATAGTTAGGAAATATCATAGTACTATATATATATGTATAAATTTGTTAAGAGCCATTTTTCACTCAAAACGAGTTCATCGTCAGTAGTCATTTTGCATTTCATGATCAGCTCAACGGTCAATTGGGATTCGGCAGTAGTGCTTCGGCGATATATGCTCAGCTTAGATTCTCTAAATGGAGGCTGTGTTCAGTTCTATCGCTATAGCCTATGGATTATAATGCACTTTCCCCAGCGTCTCTCTTCATCCATCTCGGTTCAGAGGGACTGTACTTCGAATTAAGGAAGAATAAAAGACAGCTACGGCATTCCGCATTTCTTGGGTACATAGCTCGATGCATTTAATAAACAAAACCAGGGATGTTGTAAGTGACTAAAGCCTAAAGACATTACTTTGACATAGAGAACTCGCAAGTGCTACGCAGTAGGATGTAGCATCAGTTAAGTCGTTTCTTGAAAATTACCTAAAGTTACTCGAGCCATGCAGGCATAGTCTTTACCACTTACATGTATTAGGTTGTATTCTTGGTCCACCATTTTGTTTGTGGTGATCTACGGATCTCCAACACTTTCAATATTTTCAGTATTTAGAAAAATCGTACAACTATATGAGTAATGTTCCCTGCTCTGTGTGAAGGATGCTACAAATTTGCAACGAAGAAGCTTGAACGAGACTTTATATAAAACATTTTTGATGCCTCTGCTTTAGAAGGGAGAAATGATCACGTATTTTATCTTCTTATGAAATTTAAGTGGATACGTAGTTTGACAACAAAAGGCGTATAGATGGACAGAAAAGATGAGTTTAGCAGGCGTATTTTGGGCAACATTTTAGAGACAGAACAAGTCATGAGGCGTTTCTTTTGCATTTTGTAGTTTGCATGACTTAACGAACTTCTTTCATAACCGAATTGAGTGCTTTAATGCGACTATTTCTGTGGAATGCTGGAATAGGTACAAGGGCAAGGAAAACAAATAAGAAAATTATATTCGATCGTTACCGAATCTTTTATACCGATCGCCGCGATCCTAGAAAAAGGAAAAGAACTAAACAAGATCAGATGGGTGTGGCTGATTTATCTGTTGCGCATTATGAGGAGCAAGCAAAAAAAACGGAAAGTATTAGTGTTCACAGTTTTGTTACATGCTGGTTTACATGGTTACATGTGTGGGCGTTGAGGCTTGTTCTTTGAAAAGTTTGGATTGCTTTCAAATTCTTTTCCAAGTTTGCAAGCGAGATATTAATTTTTGCGAACGGGAGGTTGTTTACCACCCTTACTATACAGTCACGCAGACGGACAGACGGACAGACGGACATTCTTAGGTGCATCCCAAATTTCAAACTGGCAAAAACGTTTCAAAAAAAAAAAAAAAAAAACAATATATTATGACATATTGAGTAGGCGTGGCAAATTTTTCTCACTTTTTTCCATTTTTTTTAGAGATACAACAGCATCGCAAGAACCAATTTAAAAAATAAAAGTGCGCTCACTTTACGTAGTACTGTACGCATGTCCTTCGACTAATTTGGCCGCTTTTCAATACCAGCCTGCGAGAAGGTTTAAATAAGACATTGCACATATGGACAGACAGGCAGACTAAAAGACGGAATATAAGTACTTTGTGGGATCCGTGAAGCTTCTTTCTGGGTATTGCAAACGTTTTCACCAAATCGATATATCCTTGATCGTTCGGTAATTCGGTATAAAAACGAATTAACTACGAAGAAGACACATTATTATCTCTTATGATTGGCGATCGGTCACAAGGTCAGAGTATATGCCTAATATTTCTTTTAAAATCTCATTTGGGTAAAGTTTATTGTAAGCTTTTTGATCTCTTTCCAGTTATCGTAAATGTAACACGTTTATCTTTCGGCATAGAAAGAGATATTGAAAAAAAAAATAAATAAAAGTAATATCATAGAATGTAAATGAAATGTTAGACGCTTAGCTTACCGCTGTTGCAATATTTTTTCTAATTTTTAGTAATTTGTCAACTAATTCGTTTAATTTGTTGGGTTGAGCATCGGGTTCCAGTGGTACTTCGGGGTTGTACCGCTGCGTATCAATGCCTGTCGTCATAACTAGTTGCGTATAATCGCCTATTCTATCGCCAGTCCAACAATGATGATCGTTTCTCTGTATATCTTCATCTTCACAAACACTGTACGTTTTATCCCATGTGTCAAGCGACAAGAAAAACAAAAAAAAAAAAAAAATAAAAAATAAAAAAAAAAATATAAAAAAAAAGTAAAAATGAAAAAAAGAGAAAAAGTACAAGAAAAAATTAAAACAAATATTCATTTAAATATATTTCAAATTTTTTAAAAGCAAGCGACAGGTCATTCTTTTGCGTTTTAAAAAACAAAAAAAAAAAAACAGTCGAGAAAAATATAATAAAATTGAATATCGTATTATTTTCGAAAATCAATTAATTTAGGCCTTTTGCGTTGGCGTTCAATTTGCGATTTGCAGATTGGTGTTTGCGAGCTGGTAGCACATTTGACAAAATTATGTTGACTTGTTTCGCATTATGGGCAAGAGAAGTTGTTCACGATGTTCTACGGGGTAATCTGTTGGTACCCAAGACTTGCTCTGTACGTAATTCATTCGTTTAAAGCGTTCGTTTTAATTTCAATTTTCATTTTAATTTTCGCTTTAATTTCTCAATACATTTTTTGGATTCTTCTTTACAGTACTGCGCCATGCCCTTGCGTGACATTCTATTGAACAGCGTTTTCTTTATAGGCGCCATTTTCGGGCCACTTTATTATTGTTTAATACGTGATATTATACGGAGACTTCGTCGTTATAAGTATAAGATCGTGCGAGTCAAAAATTGAATGTTTTTCGAAATCTAAATCACTTTCACTTGAGAAAAGTTTCTGCAAAATTTTAATAAAAAAATATAACTGTTTTGGGTTTTGCTTACTTGTTGACTATATTGGAATAAAATTCTTTGGACTTGTCGATCGTTGAGAGGAAACGTAAAATCTCGGAATCTGCTGGCGATGCCCATTTCACGCTATGCTGGGTCAATGGTTTGCCCTCATTATTCATCGTAAGCGAAGGCAAAAGTTTAGGAGTACCGCACGTTTTCTTCACCTGAAATTGTCGACAAAGAACAAAAAAAAAAAAAACAACAAAAGAATTAGTCGCTCTATGAAAAGATTTCCTAGCGGGTCCAATTACGAGAAAGAGGAAGAGGGCATTGCTAGTTGCTCCAACTTTACTAATACTGGTAAAACAATTGTCTTCATAGTAACGCTTATGCAAATTCGTGTAAAAAATGTTGTTGTCCTCGCCTTACAGACACAATTTTAATAAATTATCATATGAAGTGGAAGTGATATCCTCATAATTTGATTATACGGGCCATATAGTATATATGTTTGGACTGTTTATTGACGAAACGAAATTCTGCGAATAGCAAGAAATGTAAACTGATTGGCTGGGGTATATTAGATAGCCTAATTGTTTACAAGCGATGGAAATACTTAGAGCAGAATGTGGTAGTAGGTACGATATTTATGTATCTCGGGCGTTTTTTCACACACTTGTGTTTAGTTCGAAACTCAGCAAAGACCGTACATTCGATCTTATGGCGCATGATATGCTTAGCATGCTTTTTATGGCTTACATTATTTGCGATTAACGTATGTTCGCCTGCCCACTTGCGTAATATTAAGTATGATCTACGGATTGCAATTTTTGAAGCGCTTTCATCATATTTGGTACAATGACATATTTTCACCTAAGGACGAACTCACTTGAGAATGGATTGCATCGAACCCTCTATTTTAATTTGAAAAAGTGTTTATATGGAAAAAATCTACAATTATTGATATTCCTCACTAAAAAGTGATCAAAAATAGTATCCTGTCATACTAAATATATATCTGAAGATTTGAATAGAATATTTTTTCAGTCCCTTCCCATACGGATATCCTTTTAAATAAGAAATCCGCATGTGGCAACAAGGTTTACTTTTGAATTTTTTATGATGGAAATTATTTGAAAATAATGATTTGATATATAAATTTAATTTTTGGCATTATATATTAAAAATAGAAAATGAGATTTAAATTTACTAAATTTGCATGTAGTCGGTTCAGGCTTTGAATTGACTTTATGACGAAGACGAAGGCGAGAAATTGTATTAGACAAAGTTGTAGAGAGTATTCTATACTGTGAGTGTTACACAAACATCCGCACAAGCTTGATATCACGTTCCACCAGGGCTGTAGGGCATAATTAAGGAAACATGCTTATTGCATTTTCGTTTTTAAATGTTAATATTGCAATGTCCGTTGTTACGATAAGAGAGGAATTGAGGTGAATAAAATCGCTTCGGTAGAATGGTCACAATGAACAAACAAAAAGTTAGCTTTGATATGAGTAAATCTCTTGATGAATTTTGAATAATTTTCTTCTTCTTTTTTTTTTTAATATGAGTGATCACCCGGGGAATATTCCCCTTTAGCTTTAACCCGTTGAGGTCAGAAAGAAGTGAAAGAAAGGGATAAGAGGTGGAAGTGGGGTGCTCAGCTCGGTAAATATTCGGCCTTTACCGACTAAGCATTCACTGTAGCTACAAGCAGGTATGATCAAACCGCACTGGGATTTGAATCCGCGAACATTGAGTTAGTAGTTGCGACTCTTACCGCAACTCTCGGCTATGCTCACGTTCAAAATTTAAATTAAATATGTAAAGATCTTTTGAAAGAGAAATTCTTTCACGATTTCGGTCTTGAAAAAAATAAATTCTGAATAATATTTAAAGAATTACATTAGTAACTTTTTATAAAATTTTCTTCAATTATTGCTTACTTTTCACTGCCTGGATTTGCTTACGAAGTTTTCGCGAGGCCCTTGAAAAATTTGTTAAGAAGTTTTACTTTGCTTTTTATTTTTATTAACTTTCTTTGTTTATTTTGTTTTAATGCTTTCTGAACTTTTAATATGAGGCTTCTTAAGCCATAGATGTCGTATGTAAATTGAATTAATTTTCGATTGCCTTTCACTTATGGGGAAAATAGCTTTTAATATTTTTCGACTACTTTTAATATAAGTGAAGTAAGCGTTTTACCTTATTTTCTAAATCAGGACCGTGCTCCATGGCTAGCATTATTGCTTCGGATAGTTTGCTGTCCAATTGCTTAATGATAGTTACAATGCCTGCGTCAGAACGTATATGCGTTGTAACTAAATTATCGATGGCATCGACAACATTCGACCAAGGGCTGTCTAATACGCCGGCGTATTGAGCTGAACAACCTCTGCAAAGAAGAAAAGATGAATAAGAATACTGTATGAAAAAGGATAAAGGGACCAAGCGAAGTGAAATAATTGCCTGTTTTTCGGATATTTTTATTTTCATTTTTATTTTCGTTATTTGATTTTGATTTTTTCTTCTTTCGTTATCGAAGTACGGTTGAGATCGTACTTACCTTAGCACATTCATGCAATAACTGTAGCACGGTTTTATATGAGCTTTGGGCAAACCAGTACAACTGGGGCAGTAACTCATTTTCAGTAGGTGCTTTTGACAGCTGGCGCTTAAATGTGATGCATACAATTCATCAGTTTCGCTCAGCACTTCGGCACTTTGATGCAACGCTTGCATAAAAATTCGTGCCGTCTGTACGCTCTGCATTAAGTTTCGCGCCAGTTCTTTGGGTATTTGCCCGAATGGTAGCAAATCATCGAATGTATGCTTCAAACAATTTATATAATCCTCGTGTAATTCACCGTAATTGTTTTTGCTTAAGTGCACTGCTTGATGATAGGCAACCGGGAAGAGGTGGACAAAAAATTTGTGTATTACATCTTCGAGAGAATATAAGTTAACCGGCTCGGTCGCCTTTAAATGACTGCAAATATTAAAAATTAATAAATTTTCATTAAATTTTATAAATAAAATGCATATCGTGTCCACTACTGCTTGTCCACTACACTTAATGATTTTAATCTTGAAATTTTAACTATGAAATTTCTATACATGCGTCCAATTATGATTGAGTTTACCTTATAATCTCCGAATATAGTTGAATGATTAATTTACGCGATAATGGTTCCATACGCCAGTAGACTTGCGAGAACACATTCAATGTTCTGTTTTCCGATTGCTGAGCCAATTCCAAGACGTGTGCTATTTAATTAAGTTACAAAACAAAATTAAAGATTAAAGAATCATTTCTTACTGTAATGTGCTTCTTTAGCAGATTCTTTTTCAAATTTCTATTTGTGAAAGTTCTCTTCAATTATTTTCAATTTCATTATACGAATAGCAGATAAGCACAAAAAAATGATGACGACTTTTTTCTTTCAAATTTATGTTAACAAGGTATTATTGTATTATTATGTTACTAGAAGACTATGCCTGTTTTACACATCTTTTTGTGCCGCTATATCTCACATTGTTCTTCTTGAAAAATGGTGGTAACGAATTAAACGATTCGCTGTATCCTACTTGTAATAATAGGGTTTGGATGCTATCATAATTCTCTCTCTTCCTACCTAACGAAAAATAATGAAAACATATTACATTACTCATTGCCTCACTATGTTTGCCAATGCTCAAGAACGCAAATTATTTCGAGCCTCTTTACATTGTCTTATCACAGCTCGGTCTTTTTTTTTTCCCTTCGAGCCTATCTAGCCAAAAATAACGATAACATCATCACATTACTCGTTTTCTCGTAATTCGAACCTCTTCACATTACTATTACAACGCAATCCCCCCTCTCTTTTTGTCTCGTTTTCCCTTAGAGTCTATCTTGGCAAGAATGATGAAAACATGTTATTTTACTCGTTCCCTCGCTATGTTTGGTAGTGCTCACGAACGGATATGATTTCGTCGAGCCGCTTTATCTTGCTCTATCGCAGCTCTCTCTTTCTCACTCTTTCTCTCTGTCTCTCTGCTTCTTTGTGCCTTGGAGTCTATCTCATCAAAAATAATGAAAGCATATCGTATTACTCGATTCCTCACCACATTTGCTGATGCTCATGCTCGGCTATGATTTCTTTTCTCTTTACCTAGCGATCACACCTCCCTCTGCCTCTTTTTCGCTCCCACTCCTTTATGCTAAATCTCAAATCGAAAATAGGGAAAATAAATGAAACTATTGGTTACATTGCCATACTTGGCAATGGTTGCACTTGAATGTAACTATCTATGATGGGTAAGTGAAACAATTGGCAAAAAATTCCTGCAATAAAAAAGAATTTGAGTTGACAGAAGAAAATTTTCGGAGAGTGCATAAAAGGGGCTTCAAGTGAACGATAATGCAGCTGTTTCGCAGATAATTAGGGAACCCGACGTAATGTAATGAGAAATTTGTCGTTAAATTTTTTCAATTGATTTAAAAACCTTAAGTACAACGAACACGAAATTGATAAGCTTAGAGACATTTGATACGGAAGGAGGCTTACAAGGCATTAATGTAATCAGAGTATTTGAAAAAAATATATTGTGTGTTCTTCATATAAGAACTTTCTGAGAATACTGTCCGAATGACAATTGCGTGTGTGCGGAGGGATGAAACGTTTACATTTCTTTGCATCGTTACGATATAAAAATTAATTATAGCTTTTCTTCAATCTACATAAAATAATTCCATTTCGATATCATTTTGAGCTATCCATCAACTGCTTAATGAACGATATATATTTGAAAAGACACTATCTATCTATCTATCTATCTATCTTCGCATTTTAATATAAACGAAGTAGGTCCCCGCAAGTGAGAACAATTAAATTTAACGCAGTTTTTTATACTGTGCAGCATTACTATAAGCATTTCTTGTTTGCACATTCTTAACAAACAATTACAATTCTTTTAATTTACAACAAGTTTCGATGTGATTATGGTTTAAGGATAAATGCATTAAATGTCATTTAAAATTAATTATTATTTTTTTTTTTTTATCTTTTTAGTTATTAACATTCTTGTTTTTGTTGCTTGTTAGTTACTCTTGCTAATGTTGCAGTAAAACTCAAACAAGTTTCAAGCATCTGCCTTTGCTGCTTAACTCACACACACACATACACACAGACACACACAATATACATACTATGCATATGCGCGTGTATGCATATATCTATGTATATCTTCAAGTGGGTCGAAACAAATCAATAAAGCAACATACAAGCAGAGGTAGCATCTCTGCGTCTCTCACCTGTTTTTTCTTTTTGGCTTTGCAAGCAGCAAAGCCTTATAAGCGGCGTGAACCGAATCTTTAATGCCGGACATTTGAATTTTTCGATTCGTTAAGGACAATCGCTAACATAGATGTGGAATAAAGCATATAAGCATAAGATTGTTATTCGTCCATGTGTCGCTATTGTCGCCGGTTGGAACACTTATGAAGAGAGTTTTCTTTTCACCTTCAGCAAATATTGATTAAATATTTTTCAGAATTATATTAAAGTTAACTATATGTATCCACTGATCAGTCCCTACGTTCGTAAATTAAAAAAAAAAAAAAACCCATTCAAAATACCATACTATTACTATTAGTATTATAGCCTAAGATAAAATCTATTAAGTTAATGGTTTCGTCCGTCCCTGCAAATGTGCTAAGCCTTGTCTATTGAAGCCCTTTTACATAGCAATTGCCCATAAGCAAACGGATTAATTCAATTATAGTGTTTTAGAAGCTCGTACTTGTCACTATGTCACGTTCCTTTTCGAGGGCATTTCTGATTGCCACGCCAACAAGTGACAAAATAAATATATAGTTAGTGTTAGTGATGTTGCGACGGGCATAAAAAGCTATTTGTAAAGAGTTGTTAAAATTCTTTTAATTATCTGCATTTATGGCAGACGATGATGGTAAAGATAATGTCAACGATCACGATTAAGAAGAAAAATGCAAGAAAAACTAGTTCCTGCATAATATGCAATCCCATCAAAAAACCAATTCAATCAAACCAAGGCCAAAGTAAATTTTCCAAAATTTATTTTCGATTGGCGTAAAGGCTGCTTTGAACGCTCTACAGTATGAGGAAAAAAAAGAGTTCATTATGTGAAAGAAAATTTCTTTCTATGAAATTTCGGGCTTTTCCCTAGAGGGGCAAGAGAGTCGCAAGAAAAAAAATCTTGCCGATTTCAAACTCCGCTTACATCTCCTCTATAGATACGTTTGGGAAGTACTTTTAAATAGAATAAATATTTCATTACGACGAGCGTGAAGTAGATGCAAGGGTGAGAGTGGTTTGAGTGCGCCTCTCAATGTCTCTGTTTGCGATCAAGCTTTTAGAGTGCGTGATTCTGTCTTTGACATTTGCAGAAAAGTCTGCAGTCGAGAAGGAATAACGAACAAAAATAACAACAAAAATGAATAGGAAATCTATTGACATATGTCTGTAACACTTTTGAAAACTTTAATTGCATTTTCCTCGAGACACGACTTTTCAAAGCGGCCTATTGCATAACTTCTACAATTTTTATTCAAGTTTCGTTCAACTTTTCGACAATGTCCTTGAGATAACACTGTGGAGTGCCATGTGGAGAATTTTTGAGTAAGTGCATCGTTTGTGGTCTACACAGCACATTAAGTTTTGTGCGGATGTATACAGCACCGTGAACGACTTGAGGTAGTCTCACTTTTTATTATACCGATTTTTATTATACCGAGAGTCACTTTATCAAGGTAAGCTTGTTTGTCGATTTGTCGACTTGTGTGTATGTTGTGTTCAACTTACAGTCTCCAACTTTGGCGATAATTTGATGAAGTTCGGCAAACCGATGTGTTTTTTTGGCCCAAGAACGAATGCTATTAAAATTGGTTCGAATGGGAGCATTTTTTCGACCACTTCTCTCATATAACGTCTGATTTTGAAAAGTCGGGCAAAATTTTGCCCACGAAACCTTACTATCCTTACTAAGCTAGTATTAACGCACTACGCTTCCTCTTGTTTTCATTAGACATTCGAGCTTCGATTCTTGTGACAGCATCATTTCATTATACCGTGTAATTCTTCGATTGTTATGACGGTATTGAAAAGCGGATTTGATTTCCTCTTTCAAATACACATGAAAAAAATGTATAACAACCGCTAGACAATAGTTATGAAAAAAATACATATATACATATATATATTTTTTTTTTTTTGTTCTCTTGAAATAAGCAGGTTTTTGTTACTCATAAAAAAAGCCATTCAGGATTAATTTCCACACCTGATAACAGCAACTGGTGAAGCGCTACGCTTTTATTTGGCAGAACGTGCACATGATCAACATACAGCCGCGGGTGCTTAAACAGCGTCCAGCTCACCGTGAAAATAAGCTGCGAGAAGAGTTTTTTTTAGAAGTTTACTTCTATTATACATTTATAGTTTAAAGGACATTAACCCATCCGCTGCGCGGGTCTCCTGGGGAAAATCATGTCAATCAGAGTACAAGAGTTTTTTTCGTAATTGCATGACATCAAATGGAATCGATTTTGCGTATATGTACTTTTGGAATATTGTAAAAGAGTAAATTAAAAGTTTCTCTTAAACTCATCATCATCATCATATGTGTAAGTGACGCAGGCTTCTTATAGAAGCCTGTTGGTAGGGAACGCATTAAACGCTAAATGCATTGGATTGCGAAGTTACGCGATTTATGTATCCTTGGCTGTATGTGTGCATATATAAATAATTTAAAAAGATATGAAATGTATATGTTGTTGGTCGTTATAACTGTATAACTCTCTCTTTAATGTAATTTTATTATTTATGTTGTACCTTTTGTTTTTAAGTTTACTACGTATATACATTAATAACGCAGGTATATACATACATAAATGTAATAACAATAGAGTGAATATGGGACAAATACTTTTATATATATAAACATATGTTATATGTTGTGATGCGAAAGTTTACATGAACTCACCTTTTGGTTCAGCGTACGTATATGCATGGATAGGTAGGTAGGTAGGTAGGTAGGTAGGTATAAGCAAAAAATAAAACAAAAACAAAAAAAAAAAATAAAAAATAAAAGTATAATTGTTATGTTTCTCCATAGACCCACTCACTCACTCACTCACTCACTCACTCACTCACACATACATACATACATATAATAGATTCTCAAACAACGAAATTTTTTATTTGGATTATTTACTTTTGTTCCTCCTTATTAAAAAGTATAGTAAACCG